AATTCAAACTTTGCAACCGTTAACTGCCGCCTCAATAATAATTACGGCACATTGCAGACCCGTGAGCAAAATGTGATCACTCTCCTTAGACAATCAACATACCTCACCATAGTGTATCTTAAATTGAATTGGTTTCAAGACGTGTATGATCAAAGGGTACAGCCAGCAGTAATCTTAAAGAAATTCTGAGAGATTTGTTGTGATTAGTCTCGGGGTGGTAAATTCGAGGAATTTGATTACTCTGCGCAGTGATTAAAGCTAAGCCACCTCGTGTGGTGCTCGCAGAAATGCGCGGATCGCCTTTTATTTTGTGATTACGGGTGAAAGCAAGAGTGTTCCCACACAGGTATGGCAGTATTACATAAAAACATAAGGTACAAAAATGTAGTTAAGGCAACCCTATTAGGATCGTCGAGCAAACACTGTAGACCGTTATAAAAAAAAAAACTAGTGATCTCTACAAGTTGCCGTTACAAAACTTAGTAAACTCACTGGTGGCTAGGAAACTAGCACATTTTTGCAGGCCTCGTGTGCTCTGTAAAGTGGAATGTTGGGGGTGGGGAGGATTTTTGAGAAATAATGACGTTTGACTCAACTAAATAAGTCATTTCTGCCTTGTCAAAATATTCGACAAGCGATCATGCCATGAGCTCAATCAGTTACAATATACATCTACTCATATTCCAAGCGGACAATGCGAGATTGCAACCCAAGCTTGTTTAATCTAGTTCGGATTATTTCCGATACTCACGGCAATAACTTGGGATAATCCTTTCTAAAATCACATGAGATTCCTCTGTTTCTATTAACAACAAAATGTTCTGTCCTGTATATGAGTAGAGCCAATTTCGAACTGAAAAGCAACAAAAAAATGCGCATGCCTAAATGGAAAACGGAAACACAGAACAAGATTTATGTTTCCAGTGACACTTTCAGAGTTTCCCTATCTTGGTTTCAGACGACACAATGTTACTGAATTAGTTGGGGATTTTGGAATGAGAAAGTGTCTTCAAGGAAGTCTTAATAAAATGATTATACCAGTAACATTTCAGGACTCATTTGTCTAAGGAGCTTGTAACATTTTCAGTATAGTGATGAAGTAGGGTTGTTCACACAATTGTTCAACATCTCAACCAATTAAAGACAAAAAACAATCCCGTTAAAGATTTGTGTATTCGTCTGGAATTCTCTTTAACTTGACTGTAGCTTGATCTCTACTGTGTGTTGTTTTTTCCCGTGTGGTACAGGTACAAAGGCTCACATACAATACACCAGTTTTTACGACCGAATACAGCACAGGAGTGTGATTTATAACGCTGTGTATTCCTGTTCCTTGTAAATTATTCAACATGACACGGAAGTGCGCTGTAGACGGCCAATTCTGCAGGAAATGCACTTAATGGCCAGACAAAGAAGCCCAGAGTAAAGCCATATATATTCTGGACAGGGACATAGAAAATCGCGTTGGTCAAAACTTTATGGTACTTTTCAGAGTGCCATAAATCGGAGAACAAGGGTAGGCCGTGGGGAAAAATCATACCCGTGGCAGATGGTTCTTATATTAATCTGGTGCGAAAGAAAGCAATATTCTTTCACAAATCAAGCAAAAGTGATTATGATTCACGAAAACATTTTTGGATGAGGTTATATTTAGCACCAGAGGAACCAATGTCTATCTAAGGTATATTTTTTGTTTTCTTTTTGTGTCTGTTAACTGTATCTGTTCATCTTGTTTTGTTGTTACTTGTACTTAGCCAAGTGTGGCAAAAATGTGTTATCTGCGTTATCTTACGTCCAGGCACTGTATATGTAGTTCTGCTTCGCAATAACTATGGGCAATAACTACCCAGAGTTGACAGAACGTGGGCGACGATTGCCACAACTAACCCGTGATAGAAGACGTTTGTTGAAAACCACAACACTTGTTCTCCGATAAATCTTCGGAAAACTTACGACTCCGCGTCAACTCACTCACAAAGTCCTGACTCCACATACCTTTATGATAGTGATCATTTACGTAATGGCAGGTTTTCATGCTTAAGTAGAGGTGCAATTCAAATAAATTCATCAATCTTTTTCAGCCCTCGCGACGCTTTGCTACAAATTAACTGATATTTACTGTGTACGCGTCCTTTATAAAGATGTCAAGATGTCTGAGGTGTGCTAACAACCGCTGTATCTTATAAAACAGACCCGTGTGCCTGGAACAAACAGACATGACGCGTAATTGTAAGGGAGTAAAGTTTGGGTGAACTGTCCTGTCGAGGAAGATATAGCTCTAGTGTCAAAACATCTGCACATGTGTTACTTAGTACATGGGAAATCAATCAAAATTGATAGGAGTACTAATTGGAAATTGATATGTAGGCATAAGCTGTGTGTAACATTCGCAGGTAATGTTTATGCAGGTGTGTTTTTCTTCTCTACAGACCAGGTTAAGTTCAACTTTTCTTCGTGAGGCGTGATGTTTGAATCGAGATTCGAATTCTTTAGCTTAGATTTGAAGAAACTGAATCGGTTGGCACAGAATATCGACCTTTATTGTACGTTTATGCTCTCAGAATCTAAAAACAAGTCCTGGTAATGATACAGAAGTATGATTACAGTGATATTAGAACATAATTTTTACATATAAATATCGGACGTAAGGATGGAAAACAGATTTTGTTCTGGCTGCTAGCTTTTCTAAGCTTCTACCAGGCTTCGGGAGAGGGAAAGAGTAGAAATCGGCCAAATAGAGATAGCATGCCAAGGGAGTTTGGTCGGCTGGAGAGAACAGTTTGCCGCTCCCTCTGAAGTGATACTTTTGGTATATCTAATAGGGAACTATGTTATCGGGTCTAGAACCATTGTAGAATTCAGAATTATACTGCTTTAGTGATGGACCTTTAGACTGCGTGCCCCTCTTCTAGCAACGTGGACTTTGCCTAGGAATGCCTCCACAACACCTCCCCAGATATCACTCAAACAGCTCTTGTCAACATTGTCGGGTAAATTGAGTTATCTAAGGGGCCATCGTAGAGCAAACTTGCGTAAGTTGTCGGGGGAGTACTAGTTATGTACTGTGGTGCCAGTACGAACCACAGACAACCCGTAGCTCTGGTTATCTCTGGTGTTAGTGGATCAAACCTTCAGTTCTAGATCTGCTCTGCCGGCCGTACCTGGCGATTATGTCGTGTTTATTGGGGGTACAGAATGGTGAAACAGAGACATATGCTCTAGATATCTTGCAAATCCCACATATAAGCATCTGCATTTGGCATAGTGAGTGCAAGCTCATAACCTTGAGCTTCTGTCCTCAAGAATTATCATCGTCATGGAAAAATACCAGCTAGACCATCAATATGATTCTGACCTAATTCTATTTGGAGGTTTATTGGGGTACTAGGTATATATTTATTTTATTGGAAAACTTTTGTGTGCATTTTTAACCAAATTTATCCATGGACAGGTTGTTTTGTTATGCTTTGCTTGTATAAGTTTTTCTGTTATGCAACTCGTCACATTGACTTCTCAACGTGGCAAGTTTCATCAGCTAACGTTCTTGAAATCGCTGCCCGAGAGTCTGGAGTGTTCTCGGTTTGAACAGGGCTGACCTGGGAAAGTCGTGCTCATCAATCATCTCCGGGCGCCAGCGCGCACTCAGCCTGTTTACTTACATAACATGTCAACAGAGCCGGAGAATGCCGCGCTGTGGGGACGGCAAATGTTTGCCCTTGTTTTTGACGGACGTCGTCATGGCGGGGGTGGGTGGGGAGATGACAGGCCGTGACGTTGTTCGGTATTTCGGACCATTCAGACAAAGTGAACCCTCGCGCCGGGAGACACACGTGAACTTTACAGCGGGTCGTAAAACATGCGTGAGACTCTGTTGTTGGGTCTCAGGTGAAGGTTATCGCAATACACACGTGCCGGCCTATAAAAATATTCTAGATCATTATCTAAAATGGCCTACATACATGTACCACGAATCAGACTGTGTGTGTCTGTGTCTGTGTGTCGATTTATATGTCTGTGTATCTGTCTGTATGTGCAAATGAGGATCTGTCTGTGTGAGCAAATGATGATATTCAATCAATGAAAAGCATTTGCCAGTCGTACAGGTTATTTGTCGAAGGTATGAGATCGTGGAACTCTAGTATTTTTACTGCTTATAGCAGGGCATGCACGTTGATCACTTTTAGCTATAGACCTTCTTTTTGACCAGTTCCTCGTTTGCTAGATGCTGATACATGGTGTATAATGCTTAAATATACTTAAGCGTCCCAGTTCAAAGTAGGTGCAAGGACTTACTTCGAGGGCACAACCAGCCTTTGCAATAATGATGGAAATCCTTGAACCTTAAACGGTGATATCAAGGATGTCAACATGGGAGACAATGGGTTCTTCTTCTCCACTCGTCCCTGTCCTCCATCAGTGAGTGGAGTTCTGCTGTGGTGATGTCTCTGAGCCCAGCATCCCGCTTCAGGTTGTCAATGAAGGTTGTGCTTCTTGTGCCCTGCCTCCTCCTTCCTTCTACCGTCTCCCACAGGATAAGCTGGCTGGCTAGCAGCTTAGGATGTCGGATGCTGTACATGTGTCCAGCCTGCTCCATTCTCCGTTTCTTGATCTAATAATACAAAAAAGCAACAACAAAACTTCAAATGTTCCAATACGTATTTATTCATTTAGAATTGTAGCGCAAAAATACAAGGGGTACACTAGGCAGCAAGTATGCTGATAGCGTGCACACTTACACACATTGAACAAATACAACATTACTTGTAACATAGGGCATGGAAACAATAATGAACAGTCAATAAGTAATACATAAATAACATTATAATATTGTAGTAAAACTACTAATATTTATAGTAAGTTTTTAGCAGCAATTTGGCATTTAGTGTGGCTCAGGTGAAAGGGTCACAGAATCTCTTGGATTTAGCAATGAACATGTGCAATGCTTTTATGAGTTGTTTGTTTGTATCAAATACAGATTGTTGTAATATGTTTCTTTTCAGATCATCGGCCTGGCTATCGTGGCGGTGGGCACCTGGGTACGAGATCACGTGTCGGCCCTGATCAGCATAGGCGCGGTGATGGAGGACACGGGAGGAGGGTACTTCGTGAACGTGTACTACCCCGTCATCGTGTCCGCCTCATGCGTCATGATCCTCGTCGGCTTCCTGGGCTGCTGCGGCGCCATGACGGAAAACCCCGCCTTGTTAGGGAAGGTAGGAAGGCTTTAGTCCAACCAACTTTAAGTGTTTTTTGTTAAGGCCATGTTGATTTGATTATATGGATGACGTCCTCTGGGAACCCCAAAACCGATGCGAGCGTGCGAATAAAAAAAAAGTTTTGCAAGGAAAAGGTTTCTTTCATTATGAATTCTGCGTGGTCATGAAGGTTGAGCAAATGACACAGAGTATGGTATGGCGAATAATGTAGTCTTCAAATTCATTTCTTTACATTTTCGTCTTTTTCATTTGATTTTGGCATTTTACGACATTGGTATCGTTTTCAAATATTATTTTTGCAACTTATGGTATATATTTGCTCATTTTGTAAATGTTTTGTACGATTTACCGTATGGTTGAAAACTTTTTTTTTTTGGAAACGGCCGAAAATTCATGAGCGCGCGGATGTCATCCATATAATCAAATCAACATGGCCTAAGAATAAATCGGTTTTCACCATAGTACTAAGCATGGTAACATGCTCGGTAACGTGGTTTTCACATTTGACGTTTCTTTGACTGTCGCCATCTTCAGGGCATCAATGACTGAATCTGATTCGTACTGCAGCTAGGTGTCGCTGCTGCAACAGTACAAATGCGGTCCCAAACGTAGAGTGTTGTCACATAACATTTGCAAATTCTTGGCAGTAGAGATGATCAAGTGATAGATTGACTTTAAAGACGGAAGTTGACGATCACTTTCCCCTTTTATTCTTTCAGTTTCTTGTTTGCTTGATGTTGATATTCTTCGTTGAACTTGGCGGAGGTTTGTGGGCATACAAACACCCAGACGAGGTAAGGGCGCACCTGGCCTAACTCTTTAATGTTTGAAAGTACATGACATGTACATATAGACTTAATAGCCCCGACCTTAAATAGCTTATTTGTGGCGTCAAATTAAACTGGTATATTCTAATAAAACACTTTAGGCTTGAGATGTTACTAATGACACGATATCTGTTATGAGTTTTTTTGGTTTTGGATGGTTTGAGAGGTTAGGAGCAGTCAAGCCCATGTTTTGTATCCCATCCTTTCCATGTGATGTAAAGAATGCCAGTGACCACATGTAGTACGTAATAGTAAGGCGAACATAAGGTACTAGTATAGAATTGCATTTGTTTGTTTTTTTTATGTGGAAAAAAATAAAAATTAGTAATTTTTTTGTCAGGATCCTTTTCCAAGACGGGATGACGAAGTTGCAATTCTATCGAGAAGATTGAGATTTTACGGAGACAGAAATTATGGTGAAGTCACGAAAGGCTGGGACTTCATACAGAACGAGGTGCGTACATCACAAAATAGTTTTCCTCATGCTGAAAGTTAATTATATGAAACTCTCTCTCTCTATCTCTCTCTCTCTCTGTGTGTGTGTTTGTCTGTTTGTCTACTTGTCTCTCTCTCTCCATATCTCTCCCTCTTTGTGCCCTTTACTTATACTGGTACATGTACAAGAACGTATCATAACAAATTACATAGACAAGTATAATCCAGATAAATTAAATGTATAATTTACATGATATATCGATAGAATATCTGCTGGTATCTCGTAGTACATGCTTGTTATATAGCAATAGACGCCATTTTTATCCTTGTACAATTGTTGTGTACTAACAATAAAAGTTGATGTAAGGTATATCATGGTAATAAATGAAATAGTTCTCTCATAATAAAATATCAGCATCCAACGGTTTGTGCCATATTTCCCACAGTACCACTGCTGTGGTATGACTAGTTACCGGGACTGGTACCGGCTGCCCGCCTGGCCCAGTCAGACCTGGGTCCCGGACTCCTGCTGCAGGCTACCGGCCGAGGGCTGCGGTCATGCTGAGAGGGGCGACGATTACTTCAGTCAGGTAGGTCATCACAGTTGGTTATGATATAGAGATATTTCCTCACCTGCGTGCGTCTGTATTACTGGTGGTTTATCATCAACGAACAAAAAATATGATGAAACAAACAGTTACGAATGCAAATGCAGAATCTTGTGTCATATTTCTGATCGTTAAATGGCAACCTTTGCTCCATCAATACTTATTTTTTTAATAGGCAGTTATATATGCCAGCTTACGTTGTTGCAAGAATCCTATTTGTACTCATTCCATGAATATCCTCACATTGCAAGCATCTAGATCAAAACAATAACAAGTATTCCCGTATTTCCCAACAGGGGTGCAGCTTTTACGTGCTCGCATTTTTCGAGGACAGCAGACAAATAAAAATGATGAAGTGGTTGGGAGTCTGCATGGGGGTTATACAGGTACGACAATTAAGTGATCTGTTATCAATGTTGATTCGCTATATCAAGTGGACAAGAAAATAAACAAACAAACTTTGGATTGTGAAAAGAAAGACTGAACAAGTTTTTATAAGATGAAAGTAACATTATTTCTGCTTTAAATCAATTAGCAAATTGAAATAGTTATATTTTGGCACATCTTTAAAGGTTCCTCTTTCTTTTGCAGATGATGAGCATGATGCTTACGCTGCTACTGTGTATCGCCCTGTGCTGTAACAACTTTCGCATGGGGTATTTTCAAGCCGCCTCGCGGCCTATGGACGCCGTCTAGCGGAAACGCCACAAACTGTATTTTTTTTTTTACAAACTCGGGAGACAGAGACTCCTTGCTACCTCATTGGTGTATAGTCGAAGGATTACCGCCACCAATAGGAACCACAGACTACAGTTATTCGCAACAAAGAGGACAACCCGCTCTTCAATGTGGGGTTTTATATTGAGAACATCGTACCTCAGACATTGTAGAATCCTTACCAATGGTGTCAGAAAGTCGGGCAAAAGGAAACAGCCACACCATTCCACACACACAGTTGAAGATCGACGCCGATAGGAAAACAGAATTCCATCAAATGTGTGTCTATTTATAGTGATTCAAATGGAATGCATGGTTTCAGCAGTTCAACGGTTTGTACAAGACTAACATGCAGTATTATTTAACAGCAGTATGTAAATTTTTGACGATACATCTCATGTCGATGAAATATCTACATAGCTGTACATATTTGTAAACCGCATTTTTGTTGTAATAACTCTCACCTATCTGATGTGAAAAATCTTACTTACAATTCCTTTTTATTGTGTCTTGCCAGGGACATTATTTCTTTTGTTGAATTTTGAAGTAGTTCTGAACGTTATACAGTAACAGTTGCTGCCTGTTAACACTGCCATACAAGAAGCTTTGTATTTAGTACCCTTCGTTTGTCAACCAATAGGCAAATGACAAAGTCAAAGTAGAGGAAAACCAAAGAAAGAGTCAACCACTGTGCGTTAAGTGGTAGACCCTTCCCTTCTAATAACTCCCGACTGTGTGCTGCAAACATTGCTTGCTGTCGCAAAATGCTTGTACACATGTATTTAGTGAGCTATCTACTCGTATATGAACCAATTTTATTGACACAACAAGTTCAGCGACTTTCGTAAGGTCTATAGCTATATGAAGCTTCGAAATCTGTTCAATAGTTCCTACTCGTGTACGTGGTAAGCACTGCCTCTGGGAAATATTATTTCATAAAGAAAAGATTTCATGATGATTCTTTTTATACTCCGTTACTTACTGTAATGATTAATGAAGAACAGTCAGCATTTTCGAATGTTCTTATATCACGCACATAAGTCACTTTTAGACGCCAGCAAAGCCGTGTGCGTGTATAGTTATCGTTCTGCACCAAACATTGGAAAATAAAGTGTATATACTTCTTTTGCTATATATAAATGTAACCTTGGTGTTTGTTTCATTCTTTTCGCTGTATACTCAGTAGTAGGAGTATAAAATAAATTTTACTCTGACTTTGAGGTGTAATGCCCCATATACGTAGTAGCCACTTGGTAAATGAAAATCTCAGCAAATTTGGCAAATTGTGAGCCGGGAACACATTTTTTTCACACCTGGAACACATTTTCTTTATACCCGGAACACATTTTTTCACACCTGGAACACAATTATTTATTCACGAAGGTGACTTGGGGAGTGGTATTACTACGGCATCCTTCCATTGTGCTGTGTGAATGACCACTGCCTGCAACAAGTATTCTAAACTCACATTTTCAATACTCGATACTTTCTAGCCACTCGGAGCAACAAAAGCTTATCACATCTGCCATGTTGGATTACAGTGAATGTCTTTTCAACATGCCAACACGTTGCTAATTGCTTATTGTTTATTTTGCACTCACAAGATAAAATTAAGTATAACAATTGAAGTGAAGTATACATGCATGGGAGAGCCGGAAACCTGGAGGTTTATATATTGCCTTTCCCAACGCTATAAGATTAAAAGTTACCATTGATACTGATTGAAACAAAATTTAAACGAAGAAGACAAAAAATAACAGGAAATAAACGGAAACAATTCGAATAACTAATGAAAGAATACAAATCATATATCTGAACAAATAAAGAAGATCAAACTAATTAATCTAGTTATTACGAACATAAGTACACATGTAAATAATATGAGCAAGTCAAAACAACAAATCAAGGAAAGCAAACAAACTCAGGAAATTTTAATTAAAAGCTTTTTGAAACTGGGTAAGAAGGGACATGTCGGAAACTTAATCAGTTCATAACCCGCCAACATCTGGTCGCCAAGATTCATGTGATAATTATCATGACGTAAATGAAAAGGGTTAGCGATGGCCAGGTTTCAGTGCATTATATATATATTTATTCTGGACATACTGGGTAACGATAGCCTACGTAGCAGCAACTTGGTAGCAGGCTTATAGAACTGGGGGGTTCATTGGTCTTCGGCTGTTTTCTGATTGGCCAGTTCTAACGGGGGTAATTCAACCAGGCCGGCTATATATGTTGTCTATATGCAATCAGAAAATAGCACATAAAAGCTCCCAAACACCCCGAAGACCCCCAAAACGCCCAGTTTTTGACATACTATGGGGGCTAGGTAACGACACAAGCCTACATTGGCTACAAGACGGTGTATCATTCAACTGTATAAGTGTAACAGGAGCTTTCTGACACGACGTCATTCAACTTGTCTTAGCTTTGTCTTGTTTTTGTTCCCATGGTTTGTCTAAGATTGTCTTCAAATATTTACATATCAATTCGTAGTTGCTGAATAAATACCGGTTCAACTACAGATTTCGTTAGTCATTGACGAAAACCATTTACGCTTCAGTTTGCCGTGCCTCAAGGTAAGTGTCATTCCTTTTCCTGTCAGTTCACGCCTAAAAACCTCACTCGGAGGCTTCAATGCCAACATGATCATTTTCAACGCTGAAAGGAAGGTATTTCATTGTATGTGTAGGGGGGGGGGGTTGTTAGGAAATTTTGGTCTGATTTAAAATCAAAATACATGTTGTATATATTCACTCTGCCTGCCTAGCAGAAAAAAAAGACCACTCTATTAGCAAGAGAAATACCCAGCGGAAGCTTTACGGTACAACTCAGTTACTGTTCTTTTTTTTTCGAATCAATGAGCTAGTCTAGTCAGAGAGACAACGCGGACCCATATAGAGCAAAGAATCTGCCAATTTTGTAGTTTATGTAAAGTAGAAGACGTTCATTTTATCATTGATTTTTTTTAATTTTTTTTAAATCCTTTATTCACAACATTTACATGTACATTGTAACATTGTAAAAGGACAACAATACGTGTACATTACATATAAAAAAAACAGACAACCCTATTTATACAAAGATAATTCTGTTTTAAACATATTAGCTATTGCAATCCCATCATATTTGTCATTTTCCAGCCAACTTTATTTTATCATTGATTGCCATTTGCGTGATAGCGATAGAATTATTTTTTTCAGTTATTATTCCACCACTTCAAATATTTGATAGTACAGAGAAATTTATATTCCTTGTAGCCTTCAAGAAACCAACTCTAACTAATCACACAGCCTTCTATATTTCCACTATTACTAAGAAGCGAGGAAGTCGAATATACTAGAGTACACTAGAAGTTTATACATACACGTTTATGTATGACTGTCAACATGTGGCCTGTATTTAGCCCAGTGGGGGCAAAAATGCACCATAAAGGTCTTCATTGATTCATATCCGCATCCCATATTGCGGTGCTTGCGATGCACTAAAGGCGACCTAGTCACGTGTTTTGGTATAAGGTTAGCCTCATTCGCAGGCTTGTGAGGTGGCGGCGTTAATTTTATTCGGTGAGCGACGCGAGTTTATGCCGCGGAGGGACAGTTTCGCTGCCGTCTCTCCCCGGAAAAACTCCCTCGGCGGCAAAACCGTCCCTCCGCGTCCCTCTCGCGTCGCCCCCCGAATAAAATTAACGCCGCCTTACAAGTCTGCGAAGGAGGCTAGTATAAGGCGTTGTTGTTCCATTTTGGGCACTACTGTTGGCTTATGGAGTGTCAGGGAGGGGGGGTCTTCAACATTCCATCGTTCTAAAATAGGCACATGTATAAATAGATAGCTGTTAACGTAACCTCCCAATCAACTGGGGAAAGGTCAATGGATTATTAGAACACAGGTCAATGGATCGTTAGAACACTTCGTAAAAAGGGACGGTTAAACATTTCGAGCAGAAGTCTTATGACGATCACGGCGTCACAAAAAGCAAAGTTTATTTCATCGACTGAAATCCCCAACTCATCCAAACTAAATGTAAGTTTTTTAGAGGTTATATATAATAGGGATTTTCATGAATGCAGACAAAGATGTAGTTAAAGTTACCGCACAATAATGTATACCTCCGAGGGCATGCCATGGCAGACTTCGTCCCTATCTCGATGGACTTAGCCTCTACCAGGCCTGGGGAGGCGGCTGGAAAGAGTAGAAATTGGCCAAATAGAGTGATAAGCATGCCAAGGGAGTTTGTCCGTTGAGAAAACATTTCGCCGCACTCCACGATTTCTACTCTTTCCAGCCGCCTCCCCAAGCCTGGTAGAGGCTACCATGGAATTACCACTGCAAGGGGTTAGGTCTAGTGTCTACCAGGCTTCGGCAGGCGGCCGGAAATAGTAGAAATTGGCCAGACAGACAGATGATATGTTAGGGGATATGTTTCTCTATATCTTCAATTTCTACTCTTTCAAGTCGCCTCCCGAAGCCTGGTAGAGTATATGCTAGGTCATGTATGTACAACACATGACGCAAAAGTCAGCATCGGGTGCGGAGGGAAATGGCGACCACGCAGATAATAAATAATCATATGTTTATCTTTGTTGTGCGACGAAAAATGGGATGAGCAGGCGTAATTTTGCAATTAAAATGCCTTCGGGCATAATTTTGAAAATAAAGATTCTATATAGACTTAAATATAGAACAGTAAAACTTATCAAGCTATCACGCACGTAAGTCACTTTCACACAAGACGGTAGCAAAGCCGTGTGCGTGTAAAGTTAGTTTACCCACACAATATGCTGTATACTTAGTACGTCCCAGTGTAGACCTCTAGCGGCGGGGATTGGCATGGCATGTATGTGTGGAGTCCAGAAACCAGGGCAAATTAAGTTGAAAGACACGTTATACTTCATTCTGTGCATAAGTAATGCCGTGGTGGATCAAGACCAAAAGTCCCTGAGGTTTTTGTCCAGTTTCTTCCTCACAGGTAGGAATATTTTCTGTACAATTTCTAAATCCTCGAGGAATGTTCATCACGCTACGTAGACAGTATTACTCATATAGTTCATGACTTGGAGCGAACGTTAAAAACCCATTCAATGCCTGCTATCTCCATTTGGAGAGACCAAGGACATTCTGATAGCATGTCCTTGGAAAGACCAAGGTCATTATATAATGTCATATATAAAAAATAACAGGACGTCAGTGTCCGAACGTTTGCTGTATCTATAAATGTAGTTCGGCATGTCGTCTGCTAGTTTGCGCGATTCCGGTTGTCTCTTTTCTTACATCATAGCAGTACTATTGCTATAGTCTTATTGGCCATGTAATTATATGTCTGAAAACCCCTATCGTGGAACAGATCATTCACATCATTATTGGTGCCCTTGGGTTTTGTTGTTCTGCGCTAACTGGGCGTTCTCCAAACAAATTTGAAATGTGGGGTTATGTGTTGTTCTATAACGTCTCACTGAATGTTTGTTTAAGGGTTTCAACTACGCGTTATGCTTGAAAGTTACTAAAATGTTGTTCAGAAAGTATATATACGTAGTTTACCTGTTTGGATGGAAATGTACGTATCAAGGTTGAAGCAATTCAGGCTTTTCACACCCGCCATGTTGGATTACAGTGTACGTTAAACCAAGGACATTCTACACTAAACACCCCAACATGCTGCTAGCTAATAATAAATTTACCCGACAACACCTGGTCGCCGAAATTCATATGATTATTATCATGAAGTCAATGAAAAGCCTCTATATTGGTTGGGTAAGCGACGGTCAGATCATCAGTTACAGTCAGTGCATGTTTATTCGGGACATTCCAGGTAACAGACATAAACCTACAATTGTAACAGTAGGGGGGGGGTGTGTTATTTCACGAAAATCTTTAGATTCAACTTTAGCCCAGATTTTCTAATACTCCCATGTCTTGGGAATACATTCATGTAAAAAAAATTGAAATCGAGCCAAAACCCCACCACTACCCTGAAAATTACTTTTTCAACCCCAGAAACGCATGTGTTTGCCAACTTGCACAGTTCCCCCACATTTGGTAACGTACAACGGAGTAATATGTCAGTCCTAGGCCCTTTAATGGTCTTTTATGTGGTATGGCATACCGCAAAGATACTTTGCACTATTCAACAATGTCAAGGACATATTGTAGGTCAAAGGTCACCAAAATGGTACAATATACCTATTTTCTCAAAATTCCACCGTTATAAAAATTATAGGACATATATAGATAGCTGTTAACCCAATCAACTGGGGAAAGGTCAATGGATTATTAGAACACAGGTAAATAGATTATTAGAACACTTCGTAAATGGGCTGTTGGAACGCTTCGATCAGTACAGTGTAGCTAATGATGACCCTGGTGGCACAAAAAGCAAAGTTTATTTCATCGACTGAAAATCCCAACTCCTTCAACCTTAGTGTACGTTTTTTAGAGGTTATAGGGGATTTTCATAGATTGAGACAAAATTGTAGTTACCACATAATCATGTATACGTGGGATATCGCTAGTACCATGCAAAAGACGCAGTGTTTGTCTCGATGGACTTACCGTTGAGAGGGTATATAAGAAGTACATTTCTGCTTGTGTAATGGCTGTTTTCTATCCCTTTCCCTAACAGTCATATAAAGATGGACAGCACTACAACAGCGCTGGTTGCTGCAGTGACGGGAGCTGTGACGACGGCGACCGCCTACGCGTACTACCAGCGGGACTGGCTGAAGGACCAGTGGCTGGCCTTCATCTCTCCCGTCATCTACAACTTTCTGACGGGGACAACCAGGGAACAGCGCGCTCTCAAGTACCTCAAGGTGAGTTAAATGCTAACAAAGGGAATCTGGTGGATAAATCGAGTGAGGGCTGTGACATATGTAAGATGTATCACATACTGATAGTTGTAGGTGATGTGTTTTTATTTAACACAAAATTATGTGGAAGTAAACCCATAGTGTCACAAATTCAGAACCTTCCCCCTTCCCCGACCACCAATAGGGACCGGTCACTCTGACTAGGTTTAGGCCACGCCGATCGCGACCTTTCGATACGAATCGGATTTAAGTTAATTTGAGTCAAATTTGACTGCCCGCCACGCCCCAATTAACCACTGCTGATCTACTCCCAACTAACAGACAATATGTCCCCAACCATCGCCCGACCCCCATACAATCTTTAATGTTTTGAAGCATTTATTAAGTTGCCCTCGGGCAGGAATTTGCAATAAACAACTTCATTAAGCTGGCACAACCGAACAGTAGCCAATTTGTTGAAACCTTGCCGAACACCAGCCAATCACGACCAACCTTGCTCCGGACCTACTCCTATCCAGAGTACTCGTGGTTGGAGAAGTTCAGCAATCATTGCAAACGGTTGGTAGACCATATTCGGCTATTTAATGACAGCTTTAAGCGTTTGCTCGTGTCTAATTGTCGCCATGTTTTGGATCCTACAATACAGGAGCATGCCCGGGAGGGAGACCCTGACAGCGTCCTGGCCACTTTTGACGAGTTCTGCAGAACCCAGGAATGGGCCATGAACGCGGCGGAGGAGAAAGGCGAGATCCTGGACGAAATAGTGCGGTCGTGTGGCGTAGCGGCAGAGTGCGCGACTCGGAACTTTGAGTCCCGAGTTCGAGTCCTGACATGCCACCGATCTTGTGCCCTTGGGAAAGGCACTTTACACGGCTTTCCTCACTTAGCTCAGGTGCAAATGAGTATTGTCCTGTCATGTATTTGTCCCGTGTTGGTGGCGGCATTAATATAAGTTGAAAAAACTTGAGTGTGTCGTCACCACGTCTGGTGATTACATGTTGGAATTTAAAAAAAAAAAAAAAAAAATAGTGCGCGAGCTCCAGCCGACAACATGCCTGGAGCTGGGGACGTACTGCGGCTACTCGGCGGTTCGCATCGCTCGGCAGTTGTCTCCCTCCGCCCGCCTCATCACCGTGGAAGTCAACCCGGATTATGCCGCCGTGGCCAGGGAGGTCGTGAAGCTCGCCGGGCTTCAGGACAAGGTATGCATACACACTTTTTTTGCCCCCACTCATACCAAAAGTCATTCTGAAACTGTACAATATAAATATTCATCAAATCATGATTAGGAAAAGTTCACTTTGATTAATTTCATCACTACATACTATAATATTGTCAAAATGCCTCAACTCAGAAGAAATCACGTCGAGTCGTAAAACTCTACATAAACATGGAAATTCTGCTAAAATATTATATGTAAAAGAAAGAAAACGTTGGATATTCTTATGTTTAAAATCGCTCCAAGATTAGTTTATCACGAGATTTGTATCCTTAAGAGTCGTCTTTTTTTGCTGTTGTTCTGAGCAAATGATGTAAACAATTGTTAGCCAGCCTTGCCTAACTTTTATACATCAAATAATCATTTGCATTAACCCGATTTACAGGCGACTATTTATTATTATAAGTTGATTTCTTGGAATTCAAACTCACTTGAATCATGTTTCAACAGATCGAAGTCATCAACGTTGACAGTGCTGACGTCATCCGGGAGCTCAAGCAAACCTATGACGTCACGAAGCTGGACCTGGTGTTTCTGGACCACTGGAAGTACCTCTACATCCGGGACATCAAAATCATCGAGGAAGAAAAGTTGCTGAAGAAGGGATCTGTTGTTTTCGCAGATAACGTCATCATTCCTGGAGCTCCCGGCTACTTAGAGTACATAAGGGGCTCGAAGGATTACAAGTCTACTTTCTACTCTGTACATTTCGAGTACATGGATGACATGAGGGATGGCGTGGAGAAGTCAGTGTATGTTGGGGATGAGTAAAAGTAACGCCATCTGGCGTGATTGTAAAAAATGGCAACTACAGATGGCGTACCTTTAATCTTTAACCTCATTCATGTGATATTTTTAACCAATAAGTCGCCAACGGTTTGTTTTAATGCAGTTTAGCTGGTGTACATTGTAGATCTTGTATTATTGCATTGGCTTGTGCAAGTGTTTTTAAAATTACAAATCCCCGCTAGACAACACATGTAGCTATTGTGCGGTATGAACCAATTTCTTATTTACAATGTGGGATGTGCAATGGGCAACAAAGGGGGTAGTGCAATGTCTACATTTACATATTTCTGTAATACTAGATGGACAACAGTGCTCTTCAAACTTTGTGCAGTTTTTAATAAAACAGTTTTATGTGGCACTAGAGTTCCAAGATTTCATACCTGCGACGACAATTCCTTTGCTATAATTTACAAATTCATACCTTACATCCGATGCCTTTAAATACGTAAAGGCAGTGGTTAAAGGCAAAGCGCTATACGCTGCTTTCATAATTTTATATGCCTATGGAAGTACAGTATTTAGACTTATGAAAGATGCAGAACAAAAAAAAATGTTGCCAAAAATCACCATTAATGACTCATTCGGATTAAAATAAAATATGAATAACCAATTGAAATGACAGAGGACAAAAAATGAGATCTAGAAGCACTAGTAAAAACAAAATATTTCCATACCTATGGAGTGAAATATAAGAAAAGTGTGCTTTTAGAATAATCTCCAAGCGACCAGGAGCGGTACTGCCGACAAGGTTCTGATATTACTACGTGATCACACCTAGGCGCTATTCTAGGACGTGTAATTAACTCCATACATTACAAAACTTCAGTCCAGATCTCGCGGCACACTTTTAATCAGACAAACACTACTGTGTCCGTAATCATATCTGTGCTGATGATTACTGGAGGTCAGAATAAGTTGACCCCCTGTAATCAACCTGTTATCGGACGGCCTAGATATGAACCCGGGACTAGTAAATGAAACATCGATCTGGTAAGGGATACTTTGTCTTACTGAAGTATAAGACAGCTGTATTCAACATACAGATTAAACTACGGGTACTTTGAGACGTAGGCATGAAATTCCAACGTCTATGTATAACTACAACGTCTATGCGTAACTGGTGCTTGTAAAATAAGTTTAAAAACTTGAGTACAGCGCCACATGGCCATTTTTCTTATAACGTTATGTTGATGAATAAAAAACGACAACGTTGTTTTAGTCACGTGAGAGTAGTGACAGTCTTCCTGTGTTTCCAGACAGTGTTTCCATGATCATTTGGTCACATACAAGTAAACAGACGGGAACAAAAGATCACAGATGGAACTAATTGCCATTTAGAAATGAGCAAACTACACAATAACATACAAGCTAGGTCTAGAGCACCATACGAGCTCTAGATCTATTTCAGCAAGGTAGCGATGATATTACGATATGGCACACGGTCTACATTTTGATATTTAGAAAGGGCAAAAGTACTTGTATCTATACTATGTGTAAATTTGGCAAAAGAGAAAGTAGGGTAAAATTAATCAATATCTTGAAGGGGTTTTGAGTACAATATGCTGTATGCGTGCAACAGTAAATCCATGTATTGCTAATAAATCTTGATTTATATCAGTCGATACGCGGCTTTAACGGAAATTGGTAGTTCTGAGTTGAAAAGGTCTGAAAAAATCGTGTACACAAACTTTGTCGCGATTAAAAAAAGATTGATTAAAACAACATAAGATTGATGAACAACATATATATGACTGGAGATAATATGACAGTATGAAAGCATGAAATAATGAGTTAATTATTAGGACAATTTAATTTGTAAGAAATTGAGTTCTTTATTGCAGGTTCATGCCCGAGGGCTAATTGCAAACAGACATTGACAAGAATAATGAGTACAGGATGTAGTGATATAAAACTATATGCTAACATGAAGTTCTACGTATACGTACTGTCCATGCAGAGGTTTGGGTTTTGGGGTATCTTTAGTGTGTTTTTAGGCTTTTTTTTATCGGGGTTTCTTTTTCTTTGGGTTGGGTGAAAGAAAAATTCCAGTGCAAAAAAGAAACCCCGATGAAAAAAAGCCTACAAACACACAAAAAATACCCCAAAACCCAAACCTCTGCTTGGAGAGTACGTATACGATCTACTTTAATATCTAACTTATAATTACTATCTCTACTTAAAACTAATAACGTTGGTACACAGGATAAAGAGTGGATATGCAATACATAAACAGGTAAGTGAAACATGGTAACTACTATTCTATTCTATTATACTATCCTAGCCAAGCTATTAGGGGGTTACCAAATTTCATTGAATTCTAGCACACGTACACTGCTGGGTGGATCGATACAATAACGCCTGACACAAGCAATAACTTCTCCCTTCGCTCTTTATAGGCGGATACAATAAGAGAAGCTCATCATTTATTTATCTACATGCATTACTAACACAATTTACACACTCCTGTCCGCTCCGGCGCGTTCAACACTCATCAAACTTTCATCGCAGGCGAGTGTAACATCATCGGAATGACAAATGAACAATAAGCTGAGGTTTTCCTACATCATAAAGATACGTTTGGAACAACAAGACGATTCTTCATTTCGTGTTAGAAAAATAATTCAACACGCGTAGAGTAAAGTTAGTAGAGAGGGGCTAGTATGTGCGGAGAGTTGGAATGAAAATGACAATGAAATATGGGTTAATCATTATGTGAGTGTGGGCACCGCCCATAGCCATTGTGTGCAGCGACTGATTGGTACCAGGAAGTCTTTTGTGCATTTCTATAAGAGCTGGAGACTGTTCGGAGTTAGCGATTTGATACCTAAACGAAGTCTGTTCGTTTCTTATAAAAATGTATCTACAAGTAGCTGTATATACTTGACATGGTTTTCAAGAAGTCTAAGTGTAATTTCAACAATGTTTGGTAAAAGTCCATCATGAGGATATAGGAATATAAAAAGCAGGATCATACAAAAATTTCAAAAGAGATTTTGAAACTTTGCAACAGTCCCCGCCACCAAAAGCCACGCCATTGTTTGCCATTTTATTGTCTTACATATAATCAAACTTCCGTAGCAGCTAAATGGTACGGGACCGGTGATAGGCTGAAAGGATTGTCACGACTATTTTAGGCAACAGTGTGTCCTGGCTTGTACGTGAAAATTGCCATCGGTAATAATAGCTCGAGGCGGCCTCCAGTTTTAATACCCATTTTTTTGGCAGATGCAAATTCGCAAGGTAACTTGGCGTGGTGACAAAGCGCTATAGCAGAACTTCGCATGCCAGTGCAGACCGTCCAGTTTGAATCTCGAACCTCATTTTTGATTCGTCACCGTAAAGTGCAAATATATTTCTGAACAAAAATTGTGCCACTCTGATGGAGTCGAACGACACTTGGTTTCAACATGGCGCCCGTAGGGACCACCCTGATCCAGTGCTGTGACTGTCCGCCTGAAGCTGAGAAACCGCTACCAATGGCAACCACGACATCAGCCCCTGGACAAGAGGTAGGAATAATCACTCTGTACTCCATTTTCATGCGGACAGGTTAAGGCCGTAAGAAAATGATACGATAAGACTGTAAAGATATAGATATGAAGTCTCTGCTACATTCTATTTCATGTGATACGATCGCGGTAAAATTATATCTTTTTTCCCTATGGAGATCGTAGGTGCCACTTTTTCATGAAAGACATTACCGTCTAACAAAAAAACAAAACAATTAATGACAATTTTACCTACCGATTTGAGCAAACGCTGCAGTTTCTTCCTATATCTCCTGTACATTCCAAGAGAAAGATTGGAATATTCTACACAGATCGTTTGGCCATTGGAAATAGCCTCAAGGGAGGACGAAATTATTATTGTTTTGGGTTTACAGTAATAAGCAAATTCTATCATTTTTAGCTTATATTCTCTACAATCTATATAGTCAAGTTCGTCATACTGCGTCGACGTCATCGTTTCCTGTATTTTGTAGTTCGTTTTTCTATATTCTTAAAAGTTATGATAATGTCAATTCTTCTGCTTCTTCTGCCTGATTCGCTTTTGAATTCGATCCGCCCACAGCATGCTAGCAATATCAGTGACGTGCTACAAGCTGGTCGTTGAAAAAGCCCGGTGCCACCAGTGCGGTTAGTTCTCCCAAAAGAATTGTGATGAATTCCTCGGCACATCGGTCGAAATTGCTCCACTTGTTGTAGCTCTCATTCTCTCCGCTTTCAACGTCATTGTGTCAAGGTACAGCTTCCGGGGTGGATGTGTCGCTACCTTAAATTTAAACCACGCCTACAGCGTATATTGCACTGCCATATGTGTCAACTGTCTTGGTAATGTTTTCCATGTAATGGAAAATCCATAATAAATCTCACTAGTTTTTGGTCTACACTGCTCTACAGTAAAATTTCAAGAACCTGTAGACCATTATTAGTGGTCTATTATCAAATTACATATTACAGGTGCAACTAAAAGTAGCGGTGTATTTGTCATTGGAACATAGGGCAATGAACAGCAACAATAAATTTTAAAACATTCTTTGGAATTGCCAGTTTGATGTGAGACAACACAACCAAAACTGGTTTTAAAAGAAATAAAATACTGAGAAATTTTTGCTACTTTTTGACAGTGGGAATTTCCATGGCGGGAAATACCATGGCAACCAATCGTGACGTCACTATCCATAATAGTCTCCACCACGGTGACTCTGATTATCGTCTGCTACAACCACCGTCAGAACAAGAAGATCAGCGCCCTGAGGAACAACCTGTCGTTTGTTAACGACCAACTGGCCAAGCTGTACGGACCTCTGTACGGCAACAGGCTAGCCAGCCACAAAATTTTTGAAGAGGCTGTCGGAGAGCTGGTGGACAGGTATGGTATCAAATCAAATCAAATCTTGAATTATTTAAACTTTGCAGACATGCTAAATTTCTTAAGACACAACTGAATTGTGTTGAAATTCTACAGATACGTAAATTAAATAGAAATGTTTATTGCAAATTCATGCCCGAGGGCTAATTGCATACAGACACTAACAAGAAAAATGTAGTGATATAAGACTATTTGCTAACAACTTCTACGTGTACGATGTACTTATCGAACCTACTATCTCTACTTAAACCTAATAACGTTGGTATACATACATGGTAAAAAGTAGATATACAATATGTGACCAGGTAATAGGAACAAAGTGACTGCTATTAAAAGCATATTAACATTTTAATAATTAAAAACTACAATACAATACTCATCGACTTAATACAATTGCACATTCAAAATGCGTCCTCTGCCGTTTGTAGGTCTTTCGTGGTTCTCACGATGAAAGAGTTTTTGTGTTTTTTATGCCCTGTCTCCAGAAATGTCGCACTATCGAGACTGGTCAAATTTTCACGAGAAAGTTGCCGAAAAGTGCAGAAGGAATGTAAAAACAAACACCTTCAACTGACAATTGCACCAATTTGAAAGCACCAGCACCTACCCAAGCACTTGCTCATACCGAAAGAAAGACTTACCAGTTAGCTTCGAGAGGTTTGTTGAAAGTTTACTGAAAAAAAAAACCGAAGGCATTGCTCACGCTTGTATGGGCAGATTATTATTGATTTTTCATTAAATTAAGATGTCGTGCACATTTGAAATTTGTACTTGACCGTGCAAAAAGCTCTGCCACATTGCATGTGATAACGAAGTAATTCTATTTCAACTACAGCCTAATGGACTATAAATTGTTGCAGGAGGCCAACCGTGCCACGCAAGATTGTCATTTCTCCGTGTGGAGATGGGACAGGGGTAGGACAAACGAGCGGGTCAAACGATCAATAGTGATTTGTCACCTTGCCAGAAGTGGTACCGGTCGATATTGGTTCGGTACTGATAAAACACTTAGCATGCCTCTCACGTGCGCCCACTGATTATCATCATTCATAATACCAGTAGTAAGAAATTAAATTGAAATTTATCATCCCTTTATTTTTCCGTTAAATGAAGCTGCAATGAAATAAATTTTCGAGAAGACTTGAGCATTTGAGATGACAGGTTGAAGATGAAAGAGGTGGTATAGATGGGGCATAGGACCTTCTCATATTGATTTGCTCCCCAAGGTAATTTCCCACGGAATGTAAAAGCTATGAGCTGGGAAAAGGGCTCTGCCTGGCAGGAGATTCCGTGGTGTAGCGGTTATCACATCTGCCTAACACGCAGAAGGTCCCTGGTTCGATCCCGGGCGGAATCATTTTTTTTAAATTTTGAAAGATGAAATGAAACTTCTTCAACATTATATTATCGAAAGACGTATATTATTGAAATTTTTTGTGTGTCACTGAAACACATGATAAATTTAACTTTGAATATATGTACATGTAATTAAAATATCTATGCCTAAAAACGTAAAATAAAAAAAAATCTCGTTTTTCATCTAGCCGTTACATCAACGGATAGACCAACATACGCTTTAGATCGCCGCGATTTAAAATTCATTTTATGCCTGAAAGCTTTTGTGGGATCAAGCCGTGTTTCACCTTGCGTTGTGTCGTTGACTACTGATTCTGTCCCAATTCTCGGTGTGCAGAGAGACGGAAGGTCTTGTGGACTATCTCATCAAGGCCCGCTGGATCTGGGAGAAGAACACCACGGAAGGTCAAAGGTTACTGAACCGCTGGCGGACCTTCCTGTATTACGTCATCCACCCCCTGGACCTGAAGGCTGAGGAGATCATCCGGGACAATGCGCACCTATACGAGGACGGGTGCCCGGATGTGTTCAGGGACTTCATCGTGCACGTCAATCACCAGAAATTCGTCGTTGGTAAGTTTCAAATTCTCCCATGTCTTCATAGAATTGGCGGGAGAAGAAGACATCGGAAAGAACAAATACATGACAAATAGGTTGTCGTTTAATCATGAAAAATAAAATTCGTTAATCATCAATATTACAATAACTATTTTACAACCAAGTTACAAGCGTATATTATGTTTTTTATTTTGTTGCAATCATTAAAAAACGGCAAAAAGCAAGTAACTGGATTTTGAAAATCATATTCAGTCGCTTGAGTAACTGCTTTTTGGCGTATATTATTACCTGGGTATGATTTTTAAAATCATATGACCTCGTGACATTGGAACAGTACCAATTTTCGTGGGGTTGTCAAAAATTGTGTCTAGTCTTTTTCTGTTTAAATTTCACTTCTATCTTTTTTTTAATGGATTGTATTTTCAAATAAATTATTCAACCTAAACTAAAATACGTTTTAATAGACAAATACTACAAGTCCTAGCATTACTCCTGTGTCCTGTCCCCTGTATAATGGTACGGTCCAAAAAGTGGTCGATTATTCTAATAACCGACCACTTTTGAGTTTACGGCCTGATACTAGTAACCAATGGGAGATGGAGCCTTCTGATTAGTCGACGCATTCTGGCTATATGATAATTATATTTGTCTTCCTATTTTGGTACATTTGAGAAATAATCCTTTTCTACATTTCTTCAGCGCGTTGGAAGAAGTCGGAAAGAGGCGAAAAACTAGACATGGATGTGGAGTTCTCGGAGAATGACTTCTCGCGAGACAACAACGCGGGAAGCTCCACCTACCGTCTGTTCTGGACTCTCGAGGAACACGTGACCGAATCGTACGAGAAACTCGTCAAGAGAAAACGGAGGCTGATGCGACTCATCAAGGAGTCAACTGGCAACGGGGGAGGGAAGTTAGAAAAATAAAGGCCATGTGAACTGAAGAAGGTCGTGCAAATTTGAAAATAAACACGAGCGTACGTCTATCATTTGGACGGATCCGGTCCGGATCGTCAATTTGATGATAAGATGAACAATAACGCTGCAATTTCACACAATTGTCAACGAGATGTTGTGTAAATTTTAACAATGCAGAGAAAAATACATTTTTACACGAGGCATACGTGTACAAGAAAGGAGATTTAGACTGATCTCGGACCCTTCCTTGTATGTGACACAACAATAGCAAAGTTGGAGCGAAAACATTTTGACATGTGGCGTGACACATACTAGTAGTCTTAACGCTGTAGTTCCAGAGCTTTCAAGAAGGAGGCGCTGCTGTACAACGAAATTTCAGAGGCTGCCCTTGGCTATGCGGATCGATAACCTATAACATAAACGGAAGACACACTGTACATGTACTAGTATTTAGCATTTCATGTGGATTGCAGATCCTGCAATAAGGCAAGAATTAAGAAGGACAAACAATTCATAATCATCATAACGAGAAAACAAGTTAACTTGTCACATCATCCTGACAATATTAATATGTACAATATCACGCCCAAGTTTGCTAACTGCGGTAATAAGGTTATGTCTTCATCACCGTTCTGTGCCTGTCTTTTTGTGTAATTGAGTACAACCCAATATGTTACTGAAGTTTTTTTTTACAATTCTCAGACGAAAATATTTCTTTTGACCGGGGCCAAAATGGTGCGATAAAGCGTCGGTCACAACCCGCCGTGCGTGCTTTTTGTCCGGACGTTTTATTGGGAAGCCACGTCTCCTACGCTTTTCTGAAAACGCGGGGAAGGAGTGGCGTCGACGCACGTCACTCGCACGGTTGCGCAAGGTGTAAGAGTGTGGTCTGCACGCCACGTCTGGCCGTGAGCGGTTGCGTGCATGTTCGTTGCGCAAGTGGTAAGTGAGTTGTACGAGCTTACAACGTACGATCTCTGTGCGATTGCAACTTTACCGTAAGGAGGCCGTACTCACACGTGCTTCTTCCGTACGGCACGTACGGGGCACGCGCGTCGCCCGTACTCGCACGTACGGGTGGTGAATCCGCAGACCGCACGCAGAAAAAAGTTTTACATGCACTTAAAGTTCTACGGCGTGTCTGACGGTGCTCCCAAATCCGTAGGATTACGTGCGGAGGTGGTTACGTCCTCACCAATTACGGATGCCCTACGTTTGTCCATGTTTTGCACGTAGACAGCACGTAGATGCACGTACGGCGGGTTGTGACCGACGCTTAAGGCAAAACAATGTCGTCGTTTCCCCCATTTACACACAATGAGTTACACGTCGACAAGTCTAGATGGAATTTGAAAACAGATTGTCACTATCCTCTATTGAAACAGCTTCTAGAGTTTCGGAATTGGTTCTCGGGGTTGCTGGTTGGTTTTCACTTTGAATGAATAGTTTAGAATCCGACGACTCCACTCCTGAGCCGCATAGGGGGAAACCAAATGTACTGTTAGTAAAACATGTACGCTGCTGATATCATGCCTCAAAGAAATGGTGAAGCTATTTAATTTATATGTTGTTTCCTATTTATATTTCAGTCCATACCATGGTATGGATGAAATATATTGTGTTCTCTCATGTTTCTTCTTCTCCTCCTCCTCCTGCCAAACAGTCAAAGGGATTCAACTCCGCCATCATTCAGCCAAATGGCTTGAAATTTGGCATGGAGGGAGAGTGGGCCAATACCCCCAGGCGTTTTTTCAATTTTTTTGATACATGCCTTTGAAAATTTTTTATGAAGTTTTTTTGGGGCATTTTTCGCCAAAATATGAATTTTTGGATCCTGAGCCCTGGTTTTACAACCAAATGATCTGAAATTCAGTATAAGGGTACCTTGAACATGTGTCTACAGAATAGCAGCGACATATTTGGCATACACCAGTTCCAAATGACTCATTTGGGGGACTTTAATGGCTATTTTCAGCAAAAAAAGGGCCAAAAGTGCTATACCCGTTCCATGTTCTATTCAAAGAATGTCCCGTTCCATCTGCCCTTGGCCATGGAACACGTGTTCCATTGCGGGTTACCTGAGGTCACATTGCACGTAAGTCGTGCGTAATGACCCACACATTCAATTTTATGTGCCTTAGACCTTCAAAATGTATCAAATCTCATCATTGTTAGTATTTGCATACCTGTAATAAGATTAGTAAAGCTTTCGAGATTTAATGTGCTTATTCTTGCATCTTTGTTCTCAATTACATAGCTACTATATAATTCATTTATTTGAGAATATTTGCCAGTTTTACACTTGGGTAATTTTGGAATAGTCCACTTTTGCGTGGGAGGGAGATGGACTGAAATATGCTGTATTTGCTCCCAAGCAAATGTCGGCCTCTCTAGTTCTAATTCTATTTTGTTTTAAGCCGCAGGGAGGTACTAAGTATGAGTGGAAATTTAATTTCTTACTTAACACAATCAGTAGTAAGAAATATACAATTCACATGTTCATGTGCACAAGTTACTTACAATAAAGCAGACATTGAGCTGTATCTGTGTTGAGACATTTAGCATTAAAAAATATACGATTTCAGTGATAAAGTATTTAGTGATCACGTGTAAGCAATATCCAATGTTATCTAATAAGCGCCATCGGTAGGTTACAGGATGCGCGCAAGATAAAGAAGTACAAATTGAAAATAAAAATGTCTTTATGACAATATTATGACATTACACAATACAAGATTACTCAAGTTACGCCTTAGTAGATACTTTGGCATCTGCTATGTTTCATCAGTGATTATTTTTAACCTGTGCTTAAGTTTCTATTAAAACAACATTATAGCAACTTAATGAGGAAATGGAAATGAAAATCAAAACGGGAAAACCAACATAACTTCATTACTAGTTTCTAAAACGCAGTGTAAAGCCTATACCTGAAAAATAAAACGCAGGTGTAACTACGAAGTGCAGACTCAGATAGCGTTGTTACCAGTTTTCCTCTTCTTTTGGCACAGGCAGCAGGACATGGTCATTCCGAAAACCTACATCCGGAAGAAAAAAAAAAGGTCACTTCGATAACAAAGCATCCCATTCTGGGAGCAAGCAGGTAACTTACATGAAGTAGTAGTAGTAGTAGTAGTAGTAGTAGTAGTAGTAGTAGTAGTAGTAGTAATAGTAATAGTAACAGTAATAGTAGTAGCAGGAGCAGTAATAGTAGTAGTAGCAGCAGTAGTAGTAATTTTATAGTAGACTGGTTTAATAGATTATATCAGCAAAAAGACAGACGTCTCCTGGCAGCCGTTTTGGAAGGCTGACTTGCGAGGCTATTTACAAATTTATCATTCTATAAAATGATTATACATTAACAGTTGCCATCGTTTAGTAAGCGACTGTAAATTATTCAACAATAAAAATTCTACAAGACAATTTCAGTCAAAGATATTTTCCAAAACAGTGCTACCTACGGACCAATAACTGACCCGACATTAATTAAAAGTTGATAAAAGTTCAAGGCCAAGGATTCAATTACAAATCAGACTGACGTTTTTGTTAAGGTTTGCAAGATCACAGAATACGAGTACATCCGTAGGTGGCAGAATCAAAGCATTGAATAGGACAATTTATAGAGTTCCAGTATGAGGGTTCTCAGAGCATTCGCACGAACGCCTAGAAGTTTACGGAATTGTTTTAGATTTATTCTTGATGACAGAAGGCTACGTGACGCTCACCATCACCAGTCCGAACCCGATCCCCACACCTGCGATTATACCCGACTGCTCCTGCATCCAGAGGATGATGGGTCTTTTGCATGGCTGAGGAGAACATGGGGACAGGGTAAGGACACGTGACGTCAAAACTAAAACAACCAGTCACATCGTTTGATCAGTCAACGATGTAGAAATGTTAGCGGCTTTTGTTTTGAAGTGTCAACATCTGACCGTGCGTGGTCCAGGGGCGACTCTGTCTCTGGATCAAGAGGTTGGGAGTTCGAATCCCGGCTGTTGTCGCTCACCCGACATGCACGCTACAGCTGAAAAGGGGTGCAGTCCCTAGGACGGAACGTTAAGCTGTGGTCCACTGTTCATTGTACTTGCAGTCAAAAGAGCTAGTCGTATTTCTCCGGTACAGTGAACCTGTAAATACTGTACATAGCGTCAGTGAACCTGTAAATACTGTACATAGCGGTACAGTGAACCTGTAAATACTGTACATAGCGTCTGTCTCTGACATGACTTTGCCATGACTAGTGACTAGTGGAAGAGCTATGAGCTAAAGCTGGAACGATATAACATTTATCACTTTCCTTTTATACATTTGAACAAGCAACCAAGAAGACCATGAGCTGTACATGTCGGATTGTGTACTGACCCTGTCCCACCACGACATCGCGTCCAGCTCACAGCAGTTGTCGTCTGTGTCCACGTCACACGAACACGAGCTGGGCTTGGGATTGAAGTTCTTGGTGGAGTTCAGCCCGCAGCATTGCAGCTAAATCAATAGAAAATAAATCAGCATAAAGAAAGATTTTGAGATTTAGAAGCAATTGACAACTTTTCAATATATTCCACTAACTTATTTGATCGTAAAGCTTAAGTTAAAGACATAAATGTTTGGTATGGTATACCAAAAATAGAAAAACATATATAGCTAATAGAAAAAGCATGATATTATGCTTCACCTCTGACAAGGATGACTAAGTAACAACAACAACATGGCATACTCATGCGTAGTACCTGTCCTGAACATTTAATTAGAAGCGGTTGATCCAGAGATATAGACACAATATGCAAGTATACCGATCAACAACGAAAAAATGGAAGGATAACAATTCAGTGCATAAATTCTGAAAAGTCTATAAACCTTTTTTACGGCCTGTGGTTGAGTGGGTGAGTGAGTTTGTTTGTTTGTTTGTTTACGATGTATAGTTTGGTTGAATGTGCTGAGTAAGAAAGTATTTCTTGTACGATGACTCACGTTCTTCTGGATAGTGTCGAGCAGGGTCTGGATGGCCGGGTCGAAGTCACTGTAGTTTGTAGTTGAGAGGGTGTCTATGGCGTCCCCAACGGTAACGTAAAACTGTCGGAAAAAATTATCACACGTAATAATATGAAGGCAAAATTTAAACAAGAAGTGTTCATTCAGAGACCTAGTGTAGATAATAGATAGCTTATAGATAGTCATACCTTACCTTACATGGCCCCTTGGCCCCGTGCGGAGCATAGGACACCGACGATCCTCATATAGACAGTCATTTACTACATTTATTTCTATGTTTGAAAGTTTCAAATAGAGTACCATTCGCGGTAAAGAAAAAGATATGTCTGAAAATGTATTTTGCAAAGTTATATTGCTTCAAATCATTCAGTCGACAGAGCTGCTTCTCAGTTCAAGGACTCGTTTCTGGATTTTTACTTAACCATGCGAATAACGTACCACCAAGCTATGCTGGTACACATGTTAAACAAATTTGACTTGCTCACCTGATCCTTCTGAACCACATAGTACACGCCAATGGCGACCTCCAGACAGAGTAGGATCAACAGACAGGTGAAGAACTGTGAAGAAAACAAGATGAAGACATCTTCAATATAACTACTTTCGTTTTAATTCTACAACACTTCTCAGCACTAGATTATAAAAAAATCCTTTTACACTGATCCCGACATATTTTATTTATTTTAGCATTATTTTATCGAGTCAAAGACAATAAATTTTCAATAACTTATTCAAAGCATGCCAAAATGAATTCAAAGCATGGCCAGGGGACCAACGATTTACAATAGAGCGATGAAACAAGGAGCCAAGAAAGCAAAGAAACAAGCAAAACTAGAAAGGCAACATTTGCAAAGCAAATGCATAATGTTTGCCGTCGCATATGGCCTGCTCTATTAATTCTTAAAACACATTGAATTTTATATATATATATATATATGGTCAGACAGGAGTCTAAATCTCTCCTGCTGTACAATTGCAACATGATGCAACCCAACACTAGTTACCATGGTAACAGACAGTGTGGTTCAGGTCATTGACTTTTTTGGTTTGGAGAAGAAGAGGAAACGTAGCAAAAACAATATGTTCCTTCGGTAAGCATTATGAAATTATTGGCTCTACTTACGACCCCCAGGATGATCTGGTGTTCCTTCCAGGCCCCGACCGCCCCCAGGACCGACACGATGACGGTGATGACTCCGCCCACAATCAGCACGATCGCGCCTGCGTACAGCGTCATGCTGTCGGTGTCGGTGAGGGTGAAGGCGTTGGACGCGTTACTCTCCACCATCACCCAGATCCCCACTCCCACCAGCGTTAGGCCGAGCAGCTGCAGGAAGGAATGAATGAATGTACATATATTTTGTATCTGGCATGAATGAATGAATGAATGAATGAATGAATGAATGAAGACCTTTATTGCACATTCATTTCAGTGTCTGGAATGAATGAATGTGGACCTTTATTGCACATATACTTCAGTACCTGGAATGAAGGAAGGAGGGAAGGACGACCTTTGTTGCACGTATATTTCAGTATCTAGAATGAATGAATGAATGAAGACCTTTATTGTATATATTTTCAGTATCATCCCAAAAAGGGTTCTAGACGTCTCGCTATATATTTTATGATCAACGGTGTGTCTGAACTCATTTTACGATAGACACTAGAGGCGAATTTAGCGGCATAAACGTATACTCCGTGCCCACAAAAGATGTGTAGCTTTAGCTTAATTTATTGTGTACGTTTTCCCACTGGACTACTTAGGACTAGTAACCGTGACTACAGAACTTGACAAGAGAAACCAAAAAGACGTATAAAAGAAGCTTTAAGCCGATGTCATGTATCTTTGTATAGATCAAGTATGTATGAATTACTATCCTGAGCATTCATACATAATTTAGAGTCTATCAATTTTGTCTGAAGGTCCCTTTTCATTGCTGCATCATGTATGTACGTATTGAAACTGTCAGATTGACTGATGGACATATTAACGATGAAATTAACCAACGGCGTGTTTGATACTGTCATCATACGTAGCAACCATACTTTCCCTCCGTATAGTTTAGCTTTAGTTGAGGATAAAGTCATTAGTTAATTAATGTACATACGTTACTGAGAGCAAATTGAAATGACATAGAGAGGGGGACTACATACAAACATTCTGGACTGTGTTTTCCGGATCTACATATTAAACGTCACCACCACGACATAAAATGTACATGAATGCACGTGATACGACTGTAATATTCAATTAATCAATATTGACATATAGGATAAAGATTCACTATCAACCAGCGTAGTTAGACGAATTGTTGATCTTCGATAAAGAGGATTTTGCATAACTTGAAAGAGAACGATTTTGTTGTTGTTGCATTTGTGACCCCGGTGTCCCACTTCTACTGAAAACTACAGGTGAAAGTAAGGTGCCTACACATTGTTGTCAAAGATCGCTACGATATAGCAATAAAACACAAGATAGCATTACAACCTTTTTTTGGAATTTTCATGCCAGACCATAGATCTAAAACGTTGTTATTTGTAAACAGTTTACAGTTCCATTTTTGAGATCTTGAATTCTGACACACACCCATGACCTTGTAAGAAGTCTGTCAATTCGAGCTATAGTTATAATTACAAGGTTTATCCAGTGAACACAATATTATGTTAACTTTGTAGACTGTGGCTTCATATAATAATGATGTTGTGTCACTGATTCAGAAATTAATATTAGAACGTTTTCAAAAGTCATTTCAGACGACGTCTTTCCACAAATGCCACTTCTTGTATTTCCCAGTGCGTAACGCTGGGTGTGGCGACCTTCTCGTCTTACAATGCTGGGCAGTCAGGCAGGAAGTCGTTTAGCTATGTTAGCACTTGGCGTGGTCACTAGTAAGCTTCAAGAAGATGTTGGGGGGG